CCAAACCCCATAACACAGTTGTTCTAGATTCTGGCTGAACAATGAATTCAAGAAAGCACAGGGGGAAGAAGTTTTGTTTGGAAGGGATGGTGATAATGGTGGAGCGGGCCTGATTGAATGAAAGGAGTGTGGAGGGGAAATAGAATTCTGTTTTAAATAATCTAGTTTAAAATATCATTTTCTCTTCCCTTTTCACAAAAGACAAACCTGTGCCTCTAAACAAATTTATAGTTAGCTCCAAAGTCAGTTTTTGATTGATGGGTAGTGAGAGATGAAGTGATAACGGCTTTGGGGCACTGTGGCACTGTGGGTCTGTTAGAAAATAAAAAATTTTCACTCCCATTTCAACAGCAAAGTATTTGCCCACTACTGTCTATTCTAGTCAAAGAGCAAGTTCCTTATCGTTAGAATAACTACCAAAATATAAATTCCCATTTAATCCCAGTCCATTCCTTCAAACAGCAATTGTTGAATGCTTTCTTTTCTTTTTTTTTTTTTTAAATATATCTTTATTGACTTCAGGGAGGAAAGGATAGGGAGAGAGAGATAGAAACATCAATGATGAGAGAGAGAGTCATTGATCGGCTGCAGCCCACAGCCCGGACATGTGCCCTGACTGGGAATCGAACCCTGATCGCCTGGATCCTAGGTCGACGCTCAACCACTGAGCCATGCCCAGCTGGGCTGTTGAATGCTCTGTATGTCAGGTAGAGGGAATACAAAGTGTTCTGTCCCTGGAGACTATTAGTAGTCTAATGGAGAAGACCTACACATGAATGTGATTAATATGAAAGAGATTTAGGTAGAAAATTTTATGCGAGCATTGAGAACAGGTATTTAAATCAGCCTATGAGTATAGGGGAGATTTCCTGAATGAAATAATACTTTTAGGTCAGAATTGGTATTCAGGGTTTGTTGGGTAATACCTGGATTAGGTTTATAGCGTATGCAGAGGCAAGCAGGGATTACAGAAGATGACTATATCTGGACTATAAAGTTTGGCTGAAGCCAAAGGATAAGTGTAGTGGATATAGAGCTGAGAGATATTGGCAGGAACTTACTTTGTAAGCCAAAACTTTTTCCTGAAAGCCACAGAGATGAATTCAATAACTTTTGGCAGGGGAGTAACATGGTCACATTTCAGTTTTTAAAAGCTCTCTTTATTTATTTATTTATTGTAATTCAGAGAGAGGAATGGAGAGAAAAATAGATTTCTTGTTCTATGTTTTTAAATTGATTTTTAAAAAATATATATCTTTATTGATTTCTGGGAGAGGAAGGGAGAGGGAGAGAGATAGAAACATCAATGATGAGAGAGTTATTAATCGGCTGCCTCCTCCATGCCTCTAACTGGGGATCCAGCCTGCAACCTGGGCATGTGCCCTGACCTGGAATCGTATTGCAATGTCCTGGATCCTAGGTCAATGTTCAACCACTGAGCTATTGATTGATTTTTTAGAGAGAGAGAAACATTGATTTGTTGTTCCACTTGTTTATGCATTCATTGGTTGATTCTTTTTAAAAAAAAATGTTTTTATTGATTTTGGAGAGAGAGGAAAGGAGTGGGAGGGAGAGAGAAACATCGATTGGCTGCCTTCTGTACTCCCTCTACTAGGGATAAGCCTACATCTCAGCATGTGCCCTGACTGGGAATTGAAAACCCCGCAACCTCTCAATGCATGGTACGACGCTCAACCAACTAAGCCACACTGACCAGGTCTATCAGTTGATTCTTATATGTGTTCTGACTGGGGATCGAACCCACAACCTTGGCTTATTGGGACGACACTCTAACCAACTGAGCTACCTGGCCTGGGCTAGTAATTTCTCTTTAGTACAGGGTCCACCTTGTTAGTGTTGTAACTAGTTAAGAGGCCATCCATTGCTGTGTCAGAGAGAGAAATGATTAGAACCTGAATCAAGGTAATGATACTGGTACTGGAGAGAAGAAAATTTTGACATTTTAAGGATATGGTGTAAGATTTGATGAATATATGTTCTTTAGTTAGGTGTAGGTCTGGGTTACATGGAGCTAAAACTGTGAATATGGACATACCCACAGAAAGAGTATATAAGTTGAAAGATAGCAGAGGGCCTAGGTAGAACAAAGTGCTGGAGAATACATTTTAAAATATGGAGTGAAGAAAAGTACAGTCTGAGAAAGAATGGATAGAATAGGAAAAAATATCCTTGGGTGAGGGTGAGGATTAACAAAAAAATATTGTAATTGAGCTTGTATTCAGAGTAAATTTTAAGAAGGTACAGACTGGCATAGCATAGTAGTAAGGTATTTGTCTCTTTTGCTATTTTCCTTTATAATCTTTCAAGATTCTTTGAACCAAACCTCCTTTCTTTCCTTTTGTGACTAGTCAAGGAAATAAATAACTCTTGTGCACTGTTAGAAGTAAGTGCCATTACAATGAAAATCATGTATAATAACAAGGCGATGCCTTGCCAGACTCTTAAAAATGGAAATCTAATCTGCTTTTAGGCATCTCTGTAAGGAGGCATCTTTTAAAATAAGCTAATATAGATCAAGTTCTGTTTTTCATTAAGCACAGATTTAAATGAGACTCCATTAACCTACCTTGGATTATCCAGTCCTTGAGTTTTCAGTTTATAGTTCTTATAATTTTAACCACTTTATTGATATCTTGTTGTTTGAGCATATATATGTTAAATAATTGTTTTTTCTACAGACCTGTTATAATTCTAAAAGCCAGGCTTATATGGGCTCTTGCTGACTTAATTATAAATGGCTGCTCTAGACCATTTTTTTTCTTTAATTTTTAAAATTATTTTTTGATTTTTTTTTTAGAGAGAGGAAGGGGAAAGAAGAAGAGAGAGAGAGAGAGAGAGAGAGATATTTCTTATTCCACTTATTTATGCATTCATTGGTTGTTCCTTGTATGTGCCCTGACCAGAGATCAAATCTGAAACCTTGGCCTATCAGGGATGACACTCTAACCAACTGAGCTACCCAGCCAGACCTCCCCCCCCCCCAATGGGGGATTATCTTTTTTTCTTAAGGCTTTTTTTTTCTCCTTTTTCCAATTTTCACCCAGGATATGTTTATTGATTTGAAAGAGAGAGAGAAACATTAATGTGAGAGAGAAACATTGATCGGTTTCCACATGCCCCGACTGGGGATCAAGTCTACAACCTAGCTATGTGCCCTGACCAGGAATCAAACCCGCAACCTTTTTGGTGTATGGGACAACTCTCCAACCAACTGAGCCACGTGGCTGGGGCTTTCTTAAGATTTTTAAGACTATGACATAATTTTAAAAAAACACTATGCTGTTTAATTATGTAACAGAAAATGGATTTAATTTTAAGTCCTGAAGACCAACTTAAAATGTCTGATTTTTTTTTTTTAAGTTCTCATTATTTGGGGAATGATTTTGATTATAGACTAGGAGGATAAAAGGTGCCAGATTTTACTAAAATCAGCATGATGGATGGGAAAGTTTTACTCTCTTAACATCTGTTGATCAGCCTTTTGTTAAGAGAGGAGAATGGGTAAGAACAGAAATTCATCTAGCATTTGCTAGTTTAAAGTTGAAAGAAACTTGAATAACTTTTAAGTTTCAGAGTGTAAGTTAACTTGTACTATCCTAAAGACACAGGATCCTTTGATATGTGAAAACAATTTTAGTAATCTTGATTTATACCCTTTTCCCTCCCCCTTGTACTTTGTTTTGAAATAAGCTCTGTTTAGCAGATTCAGATAGCCTAGCCAAAGAGAGATGAGAAATAAGCAGTTTTATCAATATGTGTTTGGCTCTACAGAGGAAGGAACAGTCCAGTTGCAGATAGAAGACATGAATAACTTTCCTTTGTACCTCTTATCATAGCTTATAATCAACATTTTTGGAACCAGATGAATTGACTAATGTCATTCTCATTATTTAGACTGTAAGCTCTATAAAGGTAGTACCCCAGGTCTACTTTTACTTACCCTAGTCTACTATATGCATTCAGTATCGAGTAAAGGGATGAATGGGTTTGTGTTGAGAGAGCACAGCTTATAGCTGTATCGCTTCAAGTCATTTAACTCCTTTTATCCTGTTTTCTTGTCCGTAAAACAAGGGTAGAATCATGTTACCTATTTCATAGGGTTGTTGCAAGGAACAAATGAGGTAATGTTCATGAATAATAATATTGTATGTGTGTTTTACAGTTTTCAAAATTCCTAAAAATACATAATTATTTCATTAGTTTAATAATTACAGGACCTCACACAAAAAGCTAGATTTAAAAAAAAAAAATTGACATACAACATTGGCATTTATTTTTTGCTCATAAGACTACAGATCAGCTGTGGTTTGACTGATAACAGGCTGGTTCCTCTGGGCTTGACTCCAGGCTCCAGGCTGCTTGCAGGCCTGCCCCACATGCCTGTAATTCTTTTGGAGTCGGTAAACCACCTGGGGCTTGGTCTTCCATGCTGAAGTTCAGGAAGCAAGCCCAAGTGGGAAAGCATATTTCCAGCCTTTGTTCATATTCCATTGACTGAAACAAGTCACATAGCCATGCCCAATAGCAATCTCAAGGAGAAGTGTGTTAGTTAGTTACTATTATGGTGGGAGGGGTGGCAAGTGAATCCTTGCTGAACAAAATTCTTACTAGCACACTAAGTTACGTCACACAGCCTTTTCCTAATTTCTACCTTGGTGAATGTTATCCTGTGGTGTCTGGCAGTCTTAGTATATAGTTGTCCCCCTTTATCAGTGGGGGATAAATTCCAAGATTCCCAGTGGATTCTTGTAATCATGGATAGTATTGAACCGTATATACAATGTTTTTTCTTATATAGACATATCTATGATAAAGTTGAATTTATAAATTAGGCACAGTAAGAGATTAATAACAATAATATACTGTAATAAAAGTATGTGGATGACTTTGGGGCCATTAGTAAGTAAAGTAAGGGTTTCTTGAACACAAGCACTGCTGTACTAGGACAGTTGTTCTGGTAACCAAGATGGTTACTATAATGGGTGGGGAGCATATACACAAAAAACTAGATGATGATTATAAATAGAAAGGCATCTATTTCAACTTTTTTTGGTCCATATATTGAATACTGAAGGAATTGTGGCGAATGGAGAATATTGTAATTCATAATTATAAAGGTATAAAGGGAATATGACTGTGTCCCACAATCACTGTTACTTATATATCCTTCCAGTGATGTGTATATAAACAAGGTTGTAAATATTATTTTCTTGTTTTTATACGAAGAACAGTATACTGTATGCATTCTTTTATACCTTGTTATTTTCATGTTACTATGTTGGAGATCATTCTGTACAGTACATAGAGGGCCTTCTTATTGTTTCTTTATTGGTTGTAGAGTTTTCATTCGTTCATTCAGCCAGCATTGCCTTTCCATTATGTACCTTGCAGGACGTTTGGTCCTGTCCAAAACATCTATGGAGATGTCCATGCCAGTTCATTTACCTAACCCCATGTGCCACTACCAGCTAGGCTATAGAAGTAAGAAAGGTTAATAGTGGCAATACAGATGAGTTTGTGTACTGTTCTGTAGTAGACCTATTCATGTCCCGTGGAACAACATCATTGATGTACATCAATGTGAGACAAAGCCGATAATGGTGCATTCTTTCATTTTTTAAGGGGAAGGAATGGAGGTCTAGTGTGAGATCACACAGCTGCTAAATGATATATTTATTTTTCATATATTATGTTAAAAAATTGTAAAGCAGTCTTGAGTGTAGTTTCTTTCATATTCCCATCTAGTCCTGTGATTAGTCTTATACTCTGAGAAATACACATACAGTTTTTAAAATTCTGAGATTTATGTACATGTATATAGCCTAACTCATTTAACCTAAATGCATATCTGTAACCACTTGTTTGTGTTTAATCATAGAAATGAAAAGACTTTTTTTGTAGTTAACATGTCACAAATGTTTGGTTTAGTTTTTGTAGAAAATGTTTCCTGACTGCAATGAGAGAAAGTGGAATACATTGTCCTCTCTGTCGTGGAAATGTGACTAGAAGAGAAAGAGCATGTCCTGAACGGGCCTTAGACCTTGAAAATATCATGAGGAAATTGTCTGGTAGCTGCAGATGCTGTGCAAAACAGGTATAGTAAATGTGACATAGTTCTTGGAAGTCAAGTTTCTGCTCTGAAGTTCCTTTCTGAATATTCTTGGTGGGTGTTGTTTCGAAAGGAAAGAAGTTATTTAGATTGGGAATTGGGGTGGAAATGCTAAAAAAAGCTATGGCTATAGATTATAAACTTATTGAGAACAGGGACTGAAAGAAACAATCTCCGAATTTGTCATAATTTTTATCATTTCCCCCCCCCCTCAAAGTAAGTATTCATTTATTATCTGCTAAGTCAACTAAATGAGCAAACTGGCATTTAACTCACTTAAACCCCATTCTGGTACATGTTCAACCATTAAATAGTTTTTCTGATGGTAGGTATCATCATTGCAATTTTGCACATAGAAATGACCAAATGGATTTGTGTAGTTAAGAAACTCATTAGCTGCCCACTTTACTTGTATATTATGTGTTTTATCTAAGAAATCACAAATTATCTGGCAGAAGACTGCTTAAATTTTATGGAACAAGTGGGAAAATCAGGTATTGACAAATAACTGACATTAATTCTTCAATCTGGCTTTTATTGTTCTATCATTTGGAGAGTGAAATGGGGAAGTGTAGTTAGACTTTGAATATACCAATGTATTTATAGATTTATGCAGCCACTTTTTCAAACAGCTAATACAGTCAGTGAGTAAAACCAGTTGCTGTTTCATGCATTCATACAAGTCAGATCTGTGTTTTCATCTCTTTGAGGAAGGTCTTAACTGACAGGGCAATAAAGTAAATCTGGAAAATACACTTGAGAGATTTTTGGCTCTATATCTCACTGAGAAACTGAAAAGTATTCCAAGTATTAACTGAGAAACTTAATTTTTTTAAAGTGCTTTCTAACTACGAGGTTTCTATGAGGCAACCTCGTAGTACTTTTATCTATTATTGGTAGTGTATGGTTTCAAGTGTAAAATTATTTGTTAATATTTTTGGTGGTGAGTTTACAGACAGATGGACTCTTCTCTATTGTTTCTGCATCTAATGGACAGAAACGGATTAAAATTAAATCATTTACTTAAAAAGAACCTCTTGTTTAAATGGGATATTTAGTTATCTGTTTTTATCTATTTTTTCCTTTTTTGGCAGTATCTCAACTCTTGTAAGTTCTATTTTAAATTAAAAGTCACATTACATTTTAATCAATTTACAGATTAAATTCTATCGCATGAGACATCATTACAAATCTTGTAAGAAGTATCAAGATGAATATGGTGTTTCTGCTATCATTCCAAACTTTCAGATCTCTCAAGATTCAGTAGGGAACAGGTAAGCAGTATTTATTCTTAAAAAGATAATTTTTATAGTTGAAATGGAAATTGTTTTGGGAATTATATGATAAGGTGTGTTTTGTTTTGTTTGTCTATGTTTTTAAAGTAAATGATAGAACTATATCATTTGTATATTCGGAAGTTTGTTTGACACATGAAAGATTTACATCTGGGAAATCAACTTTATGATATACTTAAGCTTATGCTATTTAAAAATCATTTTAGGCCCGGCTAGGTGTGGCTCAGCCGTTGAGCGTCGACCTAGGATCCAGGCGATCAGGGTTCGATTCCCGGTCAGGGCACATGCCTGGGTTGCGGGCTCAATCAATGATTCTGTCATCATTGATGTTTCTATCTCTCTCTCCTTCTCCTTTCCTCTCTCTGAAATTAATAAAGATATATTTAAAAAAAAAATCATTTTAGGAAATTGGACATTTTTTTGAATAAAAAATTGACTTGAGAGATGAAGGTTATTTTCTTTTGCAACTGAAATTATTTAAAAACTAGAAAAACATTCCTTTCAGTAATGTATTTATAAACTGGAATCTTCTTTTTTGTTTCCTAAGAAATAGAATTGTTTGAGATTTTTACTCTGATAATAAAATGTCATATAAAAGTTAGACCTGGTACTAGTAAATTCTTAGTTCTCTTTTAGTCTCACATTTTTAAAAACTAGGTTTTGGCTTGATTTGTATCTTATTGTCTCAAATTTCTTTACATTAGACATTTTATTAAATGTATTTCATATAGAAGAATGGCCCAAATGCCTGTGTGGTTTGAAAAATAGTAAGTACCTAGTTATCCACTAACCTGGGTAAAAAAATATAATATTTCTTAGCACCTTAAAATCTTTTGAACCAATGACCATCTGAATCCCATATGCCCAGAGGTAACCACTATCCTCCTTTTCCAGCCATTCCCTTTTGTTTATAGTATTACCACCGCTGCATGTATTTGTAACAATGAAGTGTTTAATATTTAAAAACTCAGTAGCAAGCACACATACAATTGCGTAAAGAAAGACAGTATAGGCAGTATTATAGAAAGGCCCCAGGAGGCAGTATGCCAAACAGAGACTCTTAACATTTTATTTTAGTAGCAATTCATTTCATATGTTGCTAATTTTTGTAATTTAATCACTTGTACCACAGTAAGCTTTTTCCCTACTCCTCAGTCAAAACTGTTCTGGTAAAAGGCTTTAATACTTTTCTGATTGTCTAATCTGCAAAATCCTTTTATGTTCTCATTTATTTGACTTAGTAGTGTCATTGGATGAAATTGGTCACTTCTGTCTTGTGATATTTGTTTCCTTCATCCCTTATTGCTTTCTTTATTGTTGTACTTATGTATTGAAATTACTCTAATTTGTTATTAATTCAGTAGATTATTCTTAAGTGCAGGGATGGTATTCGTGCTGCTTAACATTGTATCTCCAGCTCTTAGCAGAGTTCCTAATACATGTGATTTGTGCAATCACTGCTATTAAATGACCAGATTTTCTTTTTTTTAATACATCTTTATTGATTTTAGAGAGAGGAAAAGAGAGGGAGAGACAGATAGAAACATCAATGATGAGAGAGTCATTGATCGAGCCCGCAACCCGGGCATGTGCCCTGACCGGGAATCGAACCCCGGTCGCCTGGATCCCAGGTCGACGCTCAACCACTGAGCCACGCCTGGCCAGGCATGACCAGATTTTCTTCTCAGGAGATATGCGTTCTTCCTTTTTACTCCTCAAATTGAATTGGTCATAGGTGCTGTTGATCCCTAATAGTAGTATTCCTCATCTATTCTTTTCCTTTCTATTGTTACTTCCTTAGCTCATGCCCTCCTCTAATATGTTGTATGTACTCTTGCTAAAGTGATATTTTAGAAGTGCAGTTCTGATCTCTTTCTCCCTGTCCTTGTACCTTTCTCCCTATACCTTGTAATGATTTCCCATGACCCCATAATAGTGTTTCTCATCCAAGATCCCATGGTTCACTAAGGGCTTTAAACTACCTAAACTGCTAACTTTTTGTTTATACACATTTTTTTCTGTACAGAAATGTCAAGATTTTCAAGGGATTCCATGATTTAAATCCAAAAACTGGCTTATAAGACAAAATTTCTTATTCTGAAGTCCTTTCTGATCTGGCACTTGCATTTCTTTTTAGCCTTTATCTTTCTTGGCTTCCCATCATTGCATCATTTGCCTTAGCCATGTTGAGTTATTTGCATTATACCCTTGCCACCCTTGAGAAGCAATATAATTTAGTGGTTAAAAATGAAGGGTTTGGTCCTGGCCCATGTGGCTCAGTTGGTTGGAGTGTGGTCCTGTACACTGAAAGGTTGCGGGTTCGATTCCCAGTCAGGATGCCTACAGGGAAGCAACCAATTGATGTTTCTCTCTCTCTTTCTGTCTCTCTCTCTCTTTCGCTCTCATTCCTCCCTTCCCGTCTCTCTAAAAAAAATCAATAAACATATACCGAGGTGAGGATTTAAAAAAAAAGAAAAAGACAACTTTGGAGCCAGACTGCCTAGGTCCCAGGCTCTGTCACTAATGGTATAAATTTGGCAAGAAATTGTACCTCAGTTTTCTCATCTGTTTAAAAAAAGTGGGTGGTGGTGAAGACACTGTTAGCACCTCATTGGGTTAGGAGTCAATAAATAGGTTAATACAGGTAAAGCATATTGAATAGTACCTTCTTTGGTAAATGTTAGTTTTTAATCATCATCACTATCATCATAATTACTCTCTTACCTACATACTTTTTACCAGTAGTGCTCCCTTTCCCTACCACCTCAGCCCATGCTTTGCCAGCTGGTAGGCTTTTTCTTCTTTTGAAGACTTAGACCAAATGTTAGGTACTCTGTGAAATCTTTCCTGGCCTCTAGAATTTCTTCCTCTTCATAGAACTGTTCTTATGCTCCAGCTAGACTCTCTAATACTTTATATTATTTATATTTATTTTTATATTACATTTATGCTTTTTTTTTTTTTTAAATCTGGAAAGGGGTTATTCATATTTATATCCTATGCAAATTCTAATTGCAATTGAAAAATGGAGTTTGTATTTGAATTTTTTGTAAGGAAATTGGTGAATGAAGGAAAAGAAGGTTTTTTTGTTTTTGTTTTTAAATGGTAGGGGCCCTGGCTGGGCATCTCAGTTGATTAGAGCATCATCCCCATGCACCAAGGTTTTGGATTCCATTCCCTAGGCTCAGGGCACATACAAGAATCAAAAACAAATGCATAAATAAGTGGAACAACAAATCAGTGTTTCTCTTTCTCTCTCTCTCTCTCTCTCTCTCCCCCCTACCCCCTCCCTTCCTCTCTCTCTAAAAATCAACCAATAAAGTCTTTTTAAAAAGGTAGGAAATATAAGATATGAAGCCAGCCAGTATATAATGTGGATCTTGTGAGGTAGTTTGAGGAAAATTTAGTAAAGGAACTATTTTCACAGAGTAGGGTACCAGATACACTATGTGAGAAGGTTCTGGGAAATCACAAAGAATAGTTATATATTCTGAGCCTACTGAAAACTGGAAGGGAGGAAGTAGATACCAGAACTTGGAGAAAGAAAGCTGTACGGAGAGAGCAGTTGGGGAGGGATTCAGTTAGTTAAGGCAATTTTCCTGGAAAGGATTCTGGGAAATAAGTATCTCCTAAATTTCCTCTTGTTACATACGGCTGTACTTTAAAGACCTTCAGTGTAGGCTATCGCTTGCCTTATTGTAGTTTATTCTTATTAAAGCTTTCTTTCGGGGCTTTTCTGTGATATTCTGGTTTAAGCTAGGTGTGGTGGCAGAATGGACAAGATGTATATATTCAGGAAATTCTCTATGAAGATTATTTCTAACAGCTACACTTTTGGTAAACTTTATTTTGGAGAGTTTAAAGTTTCTACTCTTTGTTGTTAAGTAACTGGAAAGCAGATATATTTTATATTGTTGATTAAGAGCAGGTCCATAAGCTGTAGTTAATAGTTGAGCAGGGTTTGGTGGCATCTTATGAGGATTCATTACTTTAATAAAGACCTTTCTGCAGCAAATTCAGAGGACCACCTCAAAATAGAGCCTGTGTTTTCTTAGAATATAGTTTTCAGTATTCTCTCATAAGTACAAATGGGTGATTTAAACTTTAAACTCTGGATTCTGGTTATGGAAATTCTTAAAGTGACATTTACATGTACCTATCTCAGTAGTAAAAAATTTTCAAAGTAAACCCATTGATCATTTCATTATTCCACATACATTTATTGTACCTTCTGAAATACAGGGATGGGTTAAACAGACACAATCCCCTTTTCCGTATGTATATATAAGCAGTATAACTTCCAATTGGGTAATTGACAATAAACTAGCACTAGTTTCAGTCAGATCATTCAGGGTAGAACCATAACTGTAAACTAATAAATGTTGGAGGCTGTTTAATAAAATTATCACATTGGCCTGGGTAGTTTCTCATAATAATTGCATAGCAGTGCTATTTGTTTTACTAACACAATAAAATTCTGCTTTTAACATGTAAGACTATATCTTTCTGTTTAGCCCTGAGAAGGGAAGAGGAGGATGCATGTGATCTTGAAGATGAACCAAAACACATTTCTGTTTTATCTTCCTTGGAAATTATTTGGTCTGTTTGAGGCTTTTTCTACTAATTTCGGTTTTTTGTAAACATTAGTAACTGGATATCAGTAAGCTCATGCAGTTTAGTCCAAATACAGTTCTTCACAAAGACTGAAAGAATGAAAGTAGCAAGCAGTCATACATTGTTCCTAAGATATTTCTCTCCAAGGTGTTGAGCATTTTAAGTGGCTAAATAATTATTAAGGAATCTGGTCAAGTATTAGATAAAATGCCCTTTCTGATTTATTGGCGTTCTTTATAGATTCTAGATAATAATTCTTTATTCCCTGCATTGCAAATATATTTTTTTAATCAAAATTGAAATGTTTTTTGCTCTTTTGTAAAACTTATATATATAGAACTTGAGATTTTTCTTCATATTCTAAAAAGACTGGAAATGAGATACTCTAGTATTTTGAAAACTTTGCTTTAGGGAATATCACAATTTAACTTAGCATAAAGTGACATAGTCATACATACTTTTTTTTGTTATAGTAAGGATACTTAACATGAGATATCTACCCAGATTTTTAAGTGTACAATATGGTATAATCTATAGGCATAATGTTGTACAGCAAATCTCTGGAACCTATTTTGCACATGTTGATTACCAACTCATTTCCCTTTCCCCTAGCCTCTATCAACCATCATTCTATTCTTTGCTTCTAAGAGTTTGACTATTTAATTATTTATTTATTTATTTTTGTTAATCCTCACCCTAGGATAGTTTTTTTCCATTGACTTTTAGAGAGATTGGGATGGAGGGAGGGAGGGAGAGAGAGAGAGAGAGAGAGAGACACATCGATTAGTTGCTTCCCACACACACCCCCAAGCAGGGCCGGGGGATGAAACCTGCAACCCAGGTATATGCCCTTGACTAGGAATCAAACTCGAGACCCTTTGGTCTGAGGTCTGATGCTCTAACCATAGAGCTACACTGGCCAAGGTGAGTTTGACTATTTTAGATACCTCATATAAGTGCAGTCATGCAGTATTTGTCCTGTGACTGACTTTGACTTAGTGTAATATCCCCAAGGTTCATTCATGTTGTCACATTGCAGGGTTTCTTTTTCTTTTAAGGCTGAAAAATAGTATTCAATTGTATTTATATACCACATTTTCTTTATCCATTCACAAGGTTGTTTTCAAATCTTGGCTGTTGTGCTGCAACTCTTCAGGGCCCTGATTTCAGTCCTTTTGGATAAATACCCAGAAGTGGGATTGCTAGATCAAAGGGTAGTTCTTTTTTTATTTTTTGAGGAACCTTGCTACTATTTCCTGTAGCAACTGCACTATTTTGCATTCCTACCAACAGTGTCCAAGAGTTCCAATTTCTTCACATCCTCACAAACATTTGTCTTTTTTTTGGGTTATATAATAGCTATCATAACAGGTATGAGGTGATAATCTTATTGTGGTTTTGATTTACATTTCCCTGATAATTAGTGACATTGAACATCTTTACATATACCTTGTGGGCTATTTGTATGTCATCTTTGGAGAAATTCGTTTTTAGCCTTTTTAAAAATTAGGTTATTAATTTCTTTGCTATTGAGTTGTAGGAGTTCCTTATGTATTTTGGATATTAACCCTGTATTAGATACATGGTTTGCAAATATTTCCTCCTATTCCATATTTTGCCTTTTCACTTTATTGTTTCCTTTGCTGTGCAAAGTCTTTTTAGTTTGAGGCAGTCCCACTTGTCTGTTTTTAATTGCTAATATGGTGTCAGTAATAGATTTTTTGTTGAACCCATTCATGCATTTCTGGAGTAAATGAGTAGGCTACCAGTAGTAGCCCAGGCATGATACAGGATGATAAGGAATGATATAATGACAGTAATAATGGAAAATAGAGAATTGTAATATGAGATGGAAGAGAGAAAGTATTTAAAAGGACATTAATTTTGATATTAAAATGCTTTATATCAGAATATTTTTTTCTTTATTTTTATATGTTTTTATTGATTTTAGAGAGAGAGGAAGGAGAGAGGGAGAGAGAAAAACTGCAATGTGAGAATCACTAATTGGTTTGCCTCCTGCATGCACCCTGAGCTAGGGACTGAACCCGAAAACTGGGTATGTGCCCTGACTGGGAATTGAACTAGTGACCTTTTGGTGCACAGGATGACCTTGTCAGTAAAATATTTGAGCATGTATGTCTAGAATATGTGTTTATATAAAAATTGTGACTGTATTTTACAGTAATAATACTTTATGTATATTATAAAACATGTAAAATTTAAGTGAAGTAAAGATGAAAAAGTTATTTAAAAATAAATTTTGCTTTATTTAATGGTATAAAATATTTTTATTCTTAAAGTTTTGTTAATACTTTTACTGAAAACAATATTGTTTACTATGCTAGTTTCTAAAATTTTAAAAAATCTTAATGTAACAGTAATCCAGAGATTTTTGATTTTTAGAGGGACAGGGTGGGGGGAGAGGGAGAGGGGAGAGAGAAACATCGATTGGTTGCCTCTCACGCATGCCCTGACCAGGGATCAAACCCGCAACCTTTTTGATATACAAGACAATGTTCCCACTAACTGAGCCACCTGACCAGGGCCACAGATTTGGATCTAAGTTCATTTTACTTTGATACTTGGTTTTGATGATTGTTATGGCTGAAAAAGATACCTGCTACAAAAAAATGTTGATCCAAATGTAAGAAGTGTGTCATGGGTTGAGATTACCAAAATTTCATTCTCATGTTGTAGGTGTTTCTACAGACCAATCGGAAGTTGTTATATTTTTAAAGGACATTTTAAAACCCAATGATTATATTTGGATAATTTAAAAACTGAGTAGAAAAATGTTACCAAGTTTAAATACATAGATGTGAGATTTTAAAAAATAGGTGACATACACTGTTTTGGGTAACAGAATTTTAATGTCTTTTAATAAATGCATTTTCCATAGTTTGAGTTTGTTTTAAAAAGTAGTTTTTAGTCTCCATATTGTTAAAATGTTATCTTTACCTATATGTGGCAGATATTAATCTGCCAGAAAGGTGCAGAATAGTGGTTTAATAGTCTCTTTGGGTATGGGAGTGGGATATAGAACTGGCATAGACTGTGTGTGGAGAGATAACATTGTTATCTTCACAAAGGGAACCGTTACTGCAAGGGTATCTTTGCGCTAAATACACCTTGTTATATGTAGCTTTATTATGAAAAACAAACTAAAAAAAGGAAATTCAAAAAGAAAAGAACATCTCTTAGGGAGATTGGTCCAGGACCCCCCCCCCTTGGATACCACAATCTGAGGATGCTCAGATCCCTTATATAAAATAGCGGAGTGTTTGCATATAACCTATAGTATTTGCATATAGGCTAGAGAAGGCTTTGCCTATACATCACTTTACTCACATGGATTAAGCATAGTGTTTGATGTGTGGCAAATTCCAGTTTTGCTTTTTGGAACTTGCTGAGATTTTTCTTTTTCTGACTATTTTTAATCCATGGTTGGTTGAATCTATGGATGCAACATCCTTGAATATGGAGGACTGGCTGTGCTGCTTGTCTTTGTGTAAAAGAAAAATGAATAATCAGTTTTTAAGTTTAATAACTCCTTTAAACCTGTGTGGTACAGTTATTTTTGTTCACTAGTTATCTCATGTCTATTTTAACATTGCTGCTATTGAAAGGTCTTGTTTTTATAAAATTGACCACATTGATGAAATTCTGTAGTGTCTCTGTTTGGAATACCCACTCCTCTCTTAGGATTTCTCTAATACTGCAAATGACACATGTCTCTTGCGTGGGGTCTGAATGAGGATGTCAAGTTGTTTTATGTATTAAATGTTGGAACACCTAGTTTCTTTTTGGAAAATGAACATTCAAATATTGTCTTAAACCTACTCTACTTTGGAGGCCACAACCTTAAACCATATCCTACTTACAAATCAAAAAGTTCATGAATTCTTGAGTCTACCCCAGCATTCAAATACTTACTAGCCTGGGTAGAGTTAGAGGTATTCTTAATTTTAAAGTCTAAAGGACCTGGGGAAATGCTACCCTACTGTAGATATAAGGTAATTCTGCAAAATTCTACATTCTCTATACTTTTGTAACTGCATAAATTAATTTTGAAGGACATAAATAAGGATGCAGTAAGAAGTCTTATCAGAATTTATTTGAAAAATAATTAATGCCATGCTTTTTGTTGTTCAGAATGATTTGAAGTTCAGGCCTTTAAAACAAATTTGGACTAGTCTTCTTCATTAGCAGTTCAAGTTAATGAATCTATAATGTGCTTTATTACTTGAGGTATTAACTTTACCCCCCCATGCTTTTTAAGTAACAGGAGTGAAACATCCACATCTGATAACATAGAAACTTATCAAGAGAATACAAGGTAAGCTTTTGAAAATCCTGCTACTTTATTAAATAATATCTGTTACCTTATAAAAATAGATTTTAAATTAAAAATATTTTTATTCAGTTAAATCACCAGACATAATGCTAGAACTGAGTAGTTTAGAAATAAATGATGCAATTGCTGCTTTTACAGATCACATTAAATTAGAAGAGTTTTTAGCTATCCTCTTTCACTGTGGTTAGGTTTCTTCCATGCATAATTTAGGTAGAGTTGTCAATATTGAACTGTCCCTTGCTGAAATTCAGAGGTATTAAAACCCAGTGAAGCATGATCCTCAAAATGTTTTGAAATACTGATTATTCTGGTGATCAGAGCTTTTTCTTTTTTTACTTTTTCTTAGCAATTTTGTATGTTAGATTCTCAAAGACTGTAATAGATGAAAGATAAATATTTTTTAAAATTTTATTTTTGTTTAAAATATTACATATGTCCTCTTTTCTCCCCAATGACCCGTTCCACCCTGTCCCATCCCCCTCCCCAGTCCCTCTCCCCACCATTGTCCGTGTCCTTGGGTTGTACATATATGCATGTAATTTCTTTGGTTACTCTCTCCCCCTCCACCCACCTCCCCGTCTCCATCCCTCTGACATTCATCAGTCTGATCTATGCTTCCATATCATTGAGTCTATTCTGTTCAATAGATGAAAGATATTGATGAAAGTCTTTTCAAAATTAAGTTCCTATATAGGGGGTTTCCAAACTGGGACACGGTCACAAGATATTTAAAAATTTCAAGGTACATACAGTGACATCTGTTGGCCTCATACGAATGACTAAATTAAGTTGTTTGCACTTAACTACTTAACCTTAATACATGGAACAACTAGGTTTGTTTTTGTTTTGGCCTAGAGGCACCATGAAAAAATTTACTGAGACATTAATGATACTGTAAACTGAGATTGGGAACATCTGTTGTAGATTATTTACTGAAAACTTTTTTTCAAAATTAAAGAATCTTTGAATAGTCTAATATAATTTTTTAAAAACGAAACTTACAGTAATTGGTTAAAAAACAGGAGAGCATTATTTGTTTTGTGATTTGTGATTTCAAATTAAGTATACTTCTTTTAAAATTGTTTTATAGTTCTGGGCATCCCACCTTTAAGTGTCCCTTGTGTCAAGAATCAAATTTTACCAGACAGCGTTTACTGGATCACTGTAACAGTAATCACCTATTTCAGATAGTTCCTGTGGTAAGTACATATGTTTAAGACAGTCTTCTGCTTAAAGTATGCTGTTCCATTTATTTCACTTCATGTGTACAACAGGGAAGGTAGTTTTAAATTTGGAAGAGTCATTATCAGTAAGGTAGATTTTTGTCAACAGTAGATGAAAGATTTGAAGCAAAATGAGATTTCAGTAACTTACTTATAAAATGGAGATGCTTGTTGTGAGGGTAATGTAGAAGAATAGTCTAGAGAACAGTGAAATAGTGAGAGATGAACTGGGGGTTTATTACCGAGGAAAGGCAAGATGTAGCTCTGTTAGGGCTTCTCACTTCCTGGTCTATATAGGATGCAGTCAGCTCGATCTGGCCAAGTGGATCTGCTATAGGTGAAAATTATAAATAAGAATAAATCAGTAAGTATTTTAAATTTGTGTCCTTGCAGAATGTAGTATATGAATTCATACAGCAAGGAAGGAAAGGAATCGTACTTTGTTTTTGATGCATATGTATCTTTCTGACACCATTTTGAGGGTAAGAAAGTGGTGAGACATTTTTATGAATGAAGGAGATAGTACAGAGTGCAGGATTCCAACATTGTGTTAATGATCCTACAACTCCTCATTTGGAACATGAGTTTTACAGGTAAGTGATTTCAGTTGTGGGTGAAACAGGAGAAACTGAGCTAGAAGAGATACTTCCCTTTCAGCTGTACATTTTGATATATAAATATTTTCTTCATAAATAAGAATAGAAGGAAATGTTATAAGTAAAATGAGGATAGATATTTCTAAGCAGTTTTAGTGGATGTACTAGGAAAAAAATTGTGGAAGAATATGCCTCATTAACTATTGAGGGATGTCCATAAACTCCCTCATAGCACTAAGGAAGACATAGCAGAGTCAGTTACTGTTAAATAAACAAATACAGTGCCAAAGCTATCTCTAGGAAAAACTTTGTATTTAAGAGATTTTGTTTTATATTGCATTAATAAATTTTTATTTGTTTCTATGTTATGTTGAATATAGCATAGACTTTGGCTAAAGTCCAATTACTAAAGTTCTTTTTTATTTCATTTCAGTATGTCATCCATTCATTTTTTAAAGATGTACTTCATTTAAAATCTTAAGGATACAATTTAAAAGTTTACTTATACATTCATTTTACTTATAAATGAAATAAAGCTTAAAATAATTATATCACAGTTATTGTGTGGCTCAAATGAGATTACATACTGGTTAATGATAACTATCATTACAATTGGTATTGTTAAAGGCTGGATGTGGTGTTTCTCTTGAAACACTTGTGTAATTGGAAATTTAAGTAACAGTGTATAAGATCCTCCTTTTATTGTGTTAATATAATTTATTTAAGGTAATTTTCTAGACAAATGATCTAGTGATAGAATTTGGCTCTTCAAAATGCTTTTCATGTAGGTGTTTTGGTTATATAAGCCTGTGTTTTAACACCTTCAATAATTATAATGTTTTATTTCCATTGTTTTTTATTTAAAACATTGTTTCTCATAGACATGTCCTATTTGTGTATCTCTTCCTTGGGGAGATCCTAGCCAGATTACTAGAAATTTCGTTAGTCATCTAAATCAAAGACATCAGTTTGACTATGGAGAATTTGTGGTAAGTGAATTCTTGAAGATTAAGAAAATACTGTTTAAGTATTCAAATTAAATTAACTTTTTCAATCTAAACTTGAGTTTTCAGGCAAGCTGTTGTATCATATTGGATGTTACAGAGCAAGTTCTATTGTTTTTAAAATAATATAGGTGAATTTTGTTTTGTGGAAATGGAAAAAGTTTAATATACTGTCCACCTCCTGCACTAGAGAGATCATTAATAGAGGAAGAGCAAACCTTCAGATCAACAAAATACATGAAACTATATAAGGGAAAACTGTAATTGCTAGAGAAGTAAAATTGTTACAACAGATAAAGGAGGATGTATATATTTTTCATATAGTAAGTTGCTTCTTAAATCCATTATAGTAGATCTATCTAGCATGCAAGACACATTTTTTAAAATGAGAGGGCTTAATTATCAAGTAAAGCCAGGTTGAATGGTAGATTTTTGGCCTTAGTTGACTGCTTTTACAGGGTAAGTGAGGAAAGTTTCATAATGTAAAAATGGATCCCCAAATGTGTCATAATTAAAAAACAATTAGATGTGGCTTTTGTTTTATTTATTGTGAGATTGCATTTTATTCACTTTATAGAATTAAAACTTTAAAATCTAATTTAAAATTAATTCTGATAAAGAATAGCTGCTACTGTACTTGTTTTCAGGTTTAGGTAAACACAGGCATGTGCAGTTCTGACAATGGCATGAACAGAATTTACATTATTCTCTGTTCCAAGGTTGAAATTATATTATTATTATTTTTAAATTGATTTTGAGAGAGAGAGGAAGGGAGAGACAAACATCGATGTGAGAGAGAAACATTGATTGGTTGCCTCCTGTTCACACCCAACTAGGGATCAAACCTACACCCTTTTGGTGTACAGGGCAACATGCCTACCAACTGAGCCACACCAGCCAGGGCAAAATTACAGTTATTCTTGATACATGCTTATTTTGTGGAATTTGCATTTTTAATCATACTATTTCAAAATAACAATTCAAATATATGTAAAATTCAGGTGTACTTTCACAATTTTAGCATTTTTATGAAGTAATTGTAGATTATTCTTAAATTCTCATTGTAAGAAAGGTTACTGTGTATTTGGAAAAACAAAAATATATTTGGTAAACTGTTTTGATCTAATTGGCAGATTGTTTTACCTTGCCACAGAAAAATATGTAATTTTCATTATTTGAGATTGTCAAGTGGAAGCCTATTCTAAAGCAAACCCATAGGACATAATTGATAGCAAGTAGAATTTTTAAACTTAAGTAGTAGTAGTATAACTAAGATTGAGTGAGCTATAGTTTTTAGCTTTATGTGATGGTTAAGAAACTGTTATTTAACTGTCGATTCAATAAATGATTATTTAAGATGAATTTACCTTCAGACATTGTTATTTTCTAGAGATCGCACAAAATTTATGATTGTAGATTACTTTTAACTATACTTTGAATTAATGACTTATCATAAGGTACTTTTAACTCTCAACATTCATTCTCTGCTGATCCTCTCTGCTTACCAATTATTCTTAAATAATTACAATTAAACTTATTTTTTAATTAAAGTTTATGTATTTAAATCTTATATTTCAAAGGATATGTGTTGTAACAAACTGTTTCTACTGTAGTGTGTGTGTCAAGATGTGTAATATATTGGGCAAAGTATTGAATAATAGAATATGTTTTTCTATTGATATGTTAATGTTGTTATTTTTAGAATCTTCAGCTAGATGAGGAAACCCAGTATCAAACTGCTGTGGAAGAATCTTTTCAAGTAAACATCTGAAGGCTGTAGACATCTGTGCATCTTTGTACCTGCAAGTGCCATCTTTAAGGAGAAAACTACAAGCAGTCAGCATTTCAATAACTTGATGTGTGTATTAATAAAAGTAATTCAGTCTATTGTTTTAGTTTTTAAATTGAAAAATAAAGGTGGGCTATCTAAAAATTTCATTCTCTTGGTAAGTTAAAAAATGAATGTTAGGACATTATCTTTAAAAGCATTAAAAGGATTATATTTCATTAATGTAATGGCGAAAGGGAATTCTTTCTGTACTTTATCATTTTTATATTACATTCTTGAATTTTTCCTTATGTTGCTTTTGTAGTTTGGTGCGGTTTCTCCCATTGATGTTATCGTACACAAGTAACACACAGTAGCAAATGCTGAAAGATGTGATTGATATAAAACTAACAAATCTGAGCCAGTTATCAGAGTTGCAGAACGGAGGAGACTTGAAGTGCTAAGTGAAACAATCCAAAGGAAAAATTTTTAATACAGATTCTAGCTGAAGAATTCAACTATAAGAACATGATATTTATATAACATTTAGTATTTTCGAAGACTAGTGAGATTTCTTTAATAATTTTAACTGTTTAAAAAGTGAAAGGTCAATGTAAAGATACTTCCTTTTTTGATATTAGAAGGAACTATCAAGAGAAAAATTTATTTCTTTGGCGAGCAGTTGCTAATTTCAAATCTTGTTTGTTTGGCTGACTAATTTATAAGCCTAAAGTATATTAAGTTGAATTACAGCTCTTTGGATTCAGAATTTTCAATAGCCAGATTTCTCATTAGCTAAGATGAAACTTTTATTAGAAACTTTCAGTTGGTGACTCAGTTGTATGTTCTACGTATATATTTAAGTGAGAAGTTTGGTTTCATCTCAGTTGAGAAATTTAAGCAAAGCTAAAGATGTATATGTATAATACACACACACACATATGCATGCAGTTTATCAGGTTACATACAGAATTTCTATTGAGATTTTAAAAATAGATAAAGCAATATGGGATTTAAGTGTTTACCTGATTTGATCAACATTTTGTATATCACCACATTTTTAAAAAGTCACAGTCAAATGCTAAGTGATCTAGTTGGCTGCTGTTACACCTTAAAAATTGAGTTTATACACACACTCAGTTATCTGTTTATATGGTGCTCATTTGTTCTCAGATAACGCATAACTATGAAGCAGTGAGACACATTTTACCAGCCATTCTGTTTCACTACTTTTTAGTCAGACGGTTTGCTTGTTCTTAGTATTTGTTAATGAGAATCATAAAGTAACTTGTACTAGAAGGCCCAAATCACAGAATAAAAGATGAAGAGTGGATTAGCTGACATTCCATACTAATATACATTGTTTATGCTTTCTTTAAAATAAAACTAAAAGAACATAAAATCTCAGAAGTAGTTGCTGCTAATATATACATATATTGTATAAAATGGTATATTTTGGTTTTGTTAAAACCCTTGTTGACTTTTCTACAGTGAACCTTTTTTTAACTTGGTTTAATAAAAATGTTAATTTTGGAAGTGGAGTTTTGTAAAAACGTTTTTCAGTCAAACAGTAATGACTTTATGGGTAGTAATAACAGTCACCAAAAAGCCATACATCTTAATGAACTAATGCCTTTGTTCTGTCATTCAAAAGAGTGATGTTTACTATGTGCTTGAACATTTTCTCTGCAGTTACATGAGTGTAATTGTAAGAATAGCTGTTTAACTCTTTAAAAAGAGACTTGATGATAGGTTTTTCCAACTTGAAGCAATAACTTTAGGACTTACTTTCAAAGTTTAATACTTCCCAGTATGTCAAGTTAAACCATTTTGGGATGTGAATTTCTTCAAAGGAGAATTGTAGTAGAGATCAACTTGATGAAATTGTGTTTTGAAGTTTTATGGATTAGTTCAATACCATTAATAGCCTTGTTTGTCTTTCATACAAGCTTTTCATAAAGAAAATATTGATTTTATTTGCTGTTTTCTGCGAACTCCTCAGTATGGAAATGTTTATTTAAAATCTTCCCTCTTGTCAGTGGATTAGGAATAGGGATAGGCATTACAGATTACAGTTTAATTTGTGAGAAAGTCCTTCTTTTTAAGATGCTTGTAACTGAGTCAGGATAAAGGAAGGAAACTGTATTGATACTTCGATACCTAAATTTCACAATACCACTTAGGAAAGCGATTTTCCTCAACAAATTACAGTTTATGTTGTTAAACAGAGTTTTATTTGAGATGTATTGCTTTATTTTTCAATTAAAAGTGGTTTTCTCCTACTTGTGTGTCTAATTAAAATTTTGTCTAGAGGCAAATATGATAGAACATTTAATTCTCAGCTCACTCTGGAAGACATGTAGGAGATAACCTATTATTTTGCACTTAAAAAGTGACTAGGAGAAAGCTACCACATGCTGATGCTATATGTTGGATTTAACTTTATAAACCTATTTTATCTTTATTTCAAATGTTAACTTGTAAAGCTATTTTATCAAGTATTCATGCAGCAAGATTTTCAAGCCCCGTTAGCAACCAGGCAGAAAGAGATATGTAACTGGTTAATAAATACTTTTATATAGAGAAATTCCCCTTAAGTAAGATATCAGGGCTATAAGAATATATTGCCAAATATAAAGTCATATACGTGTTGGGCCGCTCAGTAAGTATGATCTTTAGTGAATCAACTTCTATTGAAACCCTTTAGGGCTGCTATTCAAAGAATAAACCCTTTGTGGAGGTGGTGACATTTTAGCCTTTGTAGAACAGGTGTGACCCAGAAAACATGTAAATACATGTAGTATAAAACTCAGAAGTATGAAATATTCCATGATACAATTTAGTATGCAATGTAATTTTCTTATTGTGCAGTAGAATTTGAAAAAAGACAAGTAATGGGAATGAATTACATGAAGAGGTTAAAAGACTAGTGGGACCTCAAGAAAATGGGTGTTAGAGTCTGCATCCCTCAACTCCAACAGCAATTGTTCAGTCCTGGGGCCAAGAGAGATGACAGTTGCTGTACTCCTTTCCTGAAATGAGGAAGATAAATATGTATTCCATTATGTACTTGATGGAAAAACTTGCATTAAACTGTGCCATACAATTAACTGTAATAGGAATTTTTAAAAGACTATAATGGTGAAGGAGATACTGTTGCAGAATTTAAGATGAGCAGGGCAGGGGAGCAAATAGGGAGGAGACTGATAGAAGACTTAGGACCATTCTATGGAGGTCATGGAGAAGAAGAAAGCACTCAAGACGTGAGGGAGGAAATTTCATGTTTGTCTAAATGGGCAAAACAATGGTACACGACACTGAAAGTGCACCAAGTGAACAATAGCAATAGCCTTTGTAATCAGCTCAAATCAGGAAAAAACATTACTAGAATCTCATAGTCCCCTTCTTCCTACTTCCAGTCAAGTCGCCACCACCACTAACTTCTAATACCACAGATTGCCTGCTTTTATACCTTATACAAATGGAAGCACCCAATAAAAATTTTATCTGACTACTTTTGCTTAACATTGTTTTGAGATTTTTGTCAGTTTTTAATTTAATCATCGGCTTACCTACAGAAACTGTGTTTTGTCCAGAACAGAGAAGCGAGAAAGTAGCTTCTAAAGCTACTTTTTAATCTTTGTGAAAGTTACGTTAAATGTATTGCAAGTGGTTCTTTCATGTATGTTGGCACCTGGGGGGTGCCAGATCTTGGTAAAAATGGAAACCTGGCTGGTCTTTCCCTCATAATAACTAGGGAGACAGGTGAAGAGTATGACCTAATGGCCTTCCACTGCTCTCACCTGACCTCATAAGCTATGAATAGGATATCCTCTTTTCAGGGCATTTTGTAAGCACAGGATTTTAATAAGTATCTAAGGATTATATTTTCTGGGAATAGAGACTAACGCTACTGATAGAAACTGAAAGGGCTGCAGTAGATACAGAAGAAGGATAAATAGATCTTTTCTGGGATACTGAAAGCATTTGAAACCACTAAGCCTAATTTCTGTGGTCAAATGACCTGGTTTTGATGCTTCTGTAGGTTGATGCTCGTGTGTTTTTGGACAAATTATGAAGCTTCTCATCTCTCTGGATTATGAGGATTGAATGAGTTAATATAGGAAGTGCTTAAAACAGCTTGTTATCTTTACTATTACTCTGTATACAGTACAAATCTACCAATTGTGTTTATCTGGCAGGTCTCCAGTCTCTTCATAAATCCTGCCAGGAAGTCTGGAATAATTTTTTCTTTTAGAATATAGATCCTAAAGGGTTATTAGTCTTCGCTAGCCTCAATTTTTGTAGGAAGATCTGAGACGTTGTCTCCAGACAATGAGAAATTCTAAAAAATATGTCTTCTAGAAAAATCCTTATAAAGAACAATCAGCTGTGGTAATACTTCTTAATCAAATGTAAGCCCAGGATTTATGATGAGAAATTTAACAACCCTTTTTTTTATAGTTTTATTGAAATAGAATTGACATATAGCACTCTGTGTTTAAAGTGTATAGCATAATGATTTGACTTACATAAGTTGTGAAATGATTGCCACAGTAAGTTTAGTTAGCATCTGTGTCTCGGAAGGAAGGAAGGAAGGAAGGGAGGGAGGCAGGCAGGCAGGCAGGCGGGAAGGAAGGAAGAGCCCTAGCCAGTTTGGTTCAGTGGTTAGAATTGTCCTGGGGACTGAAGGTTCTGGGTTCGATTCCAGTCAAGGGGATGTACCTTGGTTGCAGGCTCGATCCCCGGCCCCCGTCAGGGCACCTGCGCAAGGCAACCAATTGATGCGTCTCTCTCACATCAATGTTTCTGTCCTTCCCCCTCCCATTCTCTAAAAAAATCCATGGAAAAAAGATCCTCCCTGAGGATTAACAACAAAAATGTTTACCCATTTGATGAGAACTACTTTAATAACTGAAATATACCATATAGCAGCGTTAATGATAGTCATCACCTACATTATCACCCACTTTTATTCTTGTATCAAGCTTCAATTCTATATTGACTATGTTTATGCCACTCCTTCTAGATAAGTATTATTTTCCTGAGTAGAAAAAAATGGGAGTAATGGTTTGTATCCTGAAAACCTTAATGCTGAAAAATCCTTTATTTCCTAGGTGGAGGTCTCATAGCTACTTAGTGCTTGTTTTATTTTATTGTGTTGAAATAACTGTTCTCTTTTGTCATATGTGGCACTCTGCTTCCCCGGTTCTCCTTAGATTCCAAATCTAAGATACTCTTTCGTTGCTGGTTCACTTTCTTGGAGCAGGCATTTAAATGCTAGGGTTCTTCAGGGCTCAGTCCTGCCCTCCTCTTCTCACTCTAATCTTTATCCCTATCAAGGTTTTTCATCCTTCACTGAACATCAGTGATCATATTCGTACAAGTTTCAAGTACCATTGTTGTTAACCAATTTCAAAATTTCATCTACACCTCTCCTCCGAGCACCAGACCTATATATCCAGCTATTTGCTCAGCATCTCATTGTCTTGCAGGCATCTGAACTCATGATAGGTAAGACCAAATTTATCTTCTCACACCTGTTTTTTTGTGGTCCAAAACAGAATCAGTACCTTCCAGCACTTTCTTAAGCCAAAAAAGCCTGGGAGTCATCCTTGGTACTTGCTATATGCTTTCAGAGCATTCATTCCTGCCTCCCCTTCGGGTGTTTTCTGTACCTCCTCTATAAACTACTTACACCTGAATCCTTGCCTCAGGGCCTGCTTCCTGTGGAACCTAAACAAGACATACAATAAATCTCAGTGTGGTGTCTGGACTAGCAAAATCCAGCATTACTTGGAAATCTGTTAGAAAAGCAAATTCTTTTTTTTAAAAAAAGTATATATTGATTACAGAGAGGAAAGGAGAGAGAGAGAGAAACATCAATGATGAGAGTCATTGATCGGCTGCTTCCTGCACGCCCTTGACTAGGAATCGAGCCCGCAACCCGGGCATATGCCCTGATTGGGAATTGAACCCCAATCACCTGGATCCTAGGTCGATGCTCAACCGCTGAGCCACGCCCAACCGGGCTAGAAAAGCAAATTCTTAAGCCCTGCTCCAGACCTCGGATACAGAAACTGGTGGTGGGATCAGCAATTTGTGTTTTAACAAGGCCTCAGGTGATCCTGATGCACGATTGGAGTAAATTATCCCCTCCCTTCCCCAAACAGAAAACCTCTCTCTTTTTCCTTTTGTTCCAAATGTATCTCTAATAAGTTAAAAATAAAATCTTCAGAATTTTTCAAGAGTCTTAGATATTCTGGGCACTACATTTCTTGAAATGATTCTTAAGAGTTTTAGGCCATCACCTCTATCTATCCTTGTATAAAAGTCCCATTTATAAGATTGATCCCATTTGAAAAAATTGATACCATTTGAAAGTGCAGTTACTTTGATTTCATCAACAGTTTCCCCCTTTTCTCATTGGGATCAGTTTATGATAGCATTGTCAGAATATCCTTTCCAGTAACATTTTAAAATAGTCTCTGACCCAGTGACTTCATTGAACTTGTTGAAATGTGATTTTCCCCTACTAATTCATGAGTCTTCTTCCAAAAAGAAAATTTTCTTATAATTTTTCCAATCTTAATATTAAGACAGTCCATTCAGAATTATTTTCAGTTGTACCTTAATAATTTGAAAATCTTTATTTTAGGAGATACTTCCTACAAGGTTATATCTTACCACCATCTTCCAATAACAGATCTCCAACTGAATCTCTGTATTGTGTCCAGCTGTAATGAAAGCCAGGCATCTCCCAGTTTAACTTCTTTGGTCAAACTATTAGTGGAGTTTTGGACAGGAAGATTAACCTCATCAACTTTCTTTTACTATAGAAATGGAGGCAGATAGTCATCTTGTTTATAGGAAAGCAAATCCATACAGGGAAATACTTGACAACCTTAGAACTTGGATGTTGTTTTTTAAAACTACAAATTGTATAATGTTTTTTAAAAAAAATTTTAAAATTAAATTTATTGGTTTGATAATTACCAATTTTTGAACACTATTGAACAAATCCCTTAACATGGAAATCAGTGCAGTTTTCCATTAGTTTTTATCATACAATCTATAATCGAGGGTTTTTTTTTTTTTCTTTCAATTGTACTTTGTGTTGGTTTCAGCTTAGTGGTTAGACAATCATATACTTTGAATAGTGTCCCCCTCAATATTTCCAGTACCCCAACTGGCACCCTATGTAATTGAATTATTATTGATTATATTCCCTATGCTTTACTTACATCCCCATGACTATTTTGTAACTACATATTTGTACTTC